TTGATTTAATCATACCTATATACATATAACATGAAGGATTTCGATAAGTTTCTAACGAAAATGACCGAGGATACTGTGGGAAGGGAATGTTCGATCACGTTGAACGAGGGTAACACAAACAGCACTTGGCCTAACGATTCGATAATGTTACACGTGACGTTCGATAAGTAAACTATCCGTGTTCCTACCGGTTTTCTCTCATTTACGAGCGTGTCAGAGCGTCATGAACACCGCGCACTTCGGTCGTACGTACGTGTGTATACTTAAACGTCATCTATCCTGACACGTGGACGTATTCCAATTTGGATAGCGCGATCCCACGGGGTATCCGTTTAAATTCCCGTCAAGTATCGATGGCCAAAGACAGTCTGCAAATACACGTTTCCTTTTTGATACCCGCCACGTTTAGTCGGTATGACAATTTTCTTGATAAAATCCTGACAATAATTTTACGCATATTCAAATTAAAATTGATTTCTCAAGGATTTTTCATCATCAATTTTTCTATAATAAAATCAGTAAATAAAAAACAATTTCAAATGGTGGAAAATTAAAAACAATTCTTACAGTTAGTTCCTATTTACAAACAGAATAGGGTTTGAGTTTTTTAAGGCAGTAACGAAGCGAGAACTTTGCAGTCTTTTTAGGGAGCGTGCTTGTAAAATTCTATTGAGTACTGGAAACGGGTTCCAACGGCGGCGGCGGTGGACTCGTAAATGGTTGAGCTCCAATTTACCCGCTCGAGAACGGTTATACGTATGCGTCTATGCTTCCTGCTCCGATGTTCCTGCATTATAGTTTCCGCTAGGTGGTGAAATTAATTGGAATTAACGGGTCGCAAAACGAAAATTTACAGCGACGGGATTCCGTGATTCGTTCTTCAATGGATCATTAATGGCGTCGTTGACTTCTTTCAAACATAACACGACTGCTTTAATAATAATTACTGCTGCCCGAGAGGGAAATACTTGTTTATCTCGGAAACAATTATGAAACCTTTAATACCGTCAATGTACGCCAATAAGTGAATCGTCATTTACAATCGTACTATATTTGGTTATGCATTGAATTTTTCATGAATTATTACTGTTCTTTACTATCATTTGCCCAGTTATTAATTATTCACGAAATTAGCAACTGAATCGTGGCGGAATTAATACACGGGAGCCATTTATTAATACGCTGACCTAAATTTCAAATTAATTGCAGGCTGATCTGAAATGTTAATTTTTCGTAAAAAGAGAAATATACGTATCCGACCATGAATTGCTGTTACTCATCAGCAATTATAGAGAACAATCGAAGTGTATCGTTTGGAAACGGAACAAATATCGGTATAACGCCATTAATAAATAAAGAATAAATAATACCGTTATTAACGTTTGCAGATAATATTTGCACGCCACTGTATTTACTTAAGCTGTGTTTTGGTACAAACACATTCAATTGGTACTAATTAATGTGGTACAAATACATTCAATTCTAAATTAAAAAATAAATGCTTCGAAAATATTTGCACAACCTTTTCATCGAATAATATGAATTTTATGCATCAATTCATTTATAAAATTAAAAAATGAAAACATTATTGACTTCATTTTATACGAAAAGAAAAATATTGTATTTTTTTTTTTACAATCATGTGAAAATTGTCAATGATAAACATTTAAGTTTAAAATTTATTTGCTAGGGACATTGACTGTCGTTCACGGACGCTTTTATTTCGCTACCCTTTCCAATTCGCGAAGCCATTCAATCGTTCCGGTTTCGTGCACACGTTGAATCCTCGGATGCGTCTCGATTTCCGGTAATACGACCGTTTCTTCCTTTCCCAATCGATCGCCTACTCAAGACTGACGAAACGAATGGAATTGCATGAAAGTGCACTTTTATTTATGTAACGTATCTACTAATGCATGATGAAACAAGCTACAGCAAACAATCACTAACAGTCAAAGCGAAGTTAAGTAGACGTGAATACTTGGAAGTTGACATACTTCTGATATATCATTATAAAGCATACATGATCAGGTTTCTCATGTTTAATATCTAGCTTTATCTATTCTATACAGACATTAAATCAATATTCCATACATCGACAGACACATGATTTATCATCTTTTTTAATAATAAAATTAATAGCTCATAGTTTGGCTAATTGGGTGACTTATTTCACACGAAGAAAAATTATGTTTCTGGATTATGAATTTCTGACTCTTACTGTATACTGAATGTATGCGTCGTCAGGAATTTCAAGCGATTACATAGCAGAGTACAAGTATTGTATAATTGTCGTGAATTACATTCTAATCCGGAGTTTCTCTTATTTCACGCTTTTCGTTTAAAAGTTTCTAAATGAAAACTGAAATCGTCAATACATAGCAATTTAATTTCAGTTCCTAGGTAGTGCGTGCACGATATAATTAATACTTTCAATATTAATAAAAACCGTGATATCAATTTTTCATGAGTGTATCTGAAACGTTTGATCATATACATGCACTTTAGAAGTCCATTAATTTTTTTATTTACATAACAGAAAAACGAGAAGCATTATTCAATAACGTGTGCAATAAAAAATAGCGTTCCACTGAGTCGGTTCATATATTAGTATCCGGTTACATCATTCGTTACAGTGCGCAGCCAGCACTAATTTCCTAGCCTGAACTGTTTATGCAACCGAAACTATTCAAATTCCCGTAAAAGGCTTGAGCGCGGACAATGAAAGGAACGTTGGAACGCGAGCGTGTAAGAAGAAGTTCTCTTGCCGCTTTATGGTTTGTAACAGTAGTGCCAAATGAAATTCATTAAAAAGCGTGCACGCGCAAAAGGCGCACGCATAATGCTGTTGAAGATGAAGGAAGAAAAAAGGAGCAGGAAGGGAAATAATTACAGTCGTTTTCCGCTGGTAACAATGCCGGTGAATAAAATTTGACACGTACAGTTAGATTGCATTACTGAATCCAAGATACGAATGACTGGCGGTGTTATGGCTATTCCGCTTTAACGTTGATCGATTGCACATGTAAAAACCACAGTATAGAAAGAACAGTAGCAGTTCACCCTTTCAAAAAGTGTACTAGAAAGAAAAATTTTTTTTTTTGCAATGAACAATTTTATTTAATAATTAATTATTGACGCTAGCGAAAAAATTTGTATGCAGAAATTGTAGGCACTCATTTTTTACGAGAAAGATTCTTTTTTTCAAGATTGCGAAAAATGCTTCAAATAAAAGTTGTTTTCCTTCTAACTTCGATATTTAACGAGTTACGTATGATTATTTGGCATTTTATTGATGTTGACAAAATCCGACCGCACAAGGAATCATGTAAAATGCACAGTGATAAAAATCCTACAAATTAAGTTTGCCTTTTATATTTCCTTCTACCGTTGTACGAACTCTCGAGCAAATAATACCTTACAATTACAAAAAACTCCACGTGAGTCCGATAGGAAATCTAGCAAGACTTTAATTCAGCCGCAAATCCTAGGAGAAAAATCTCTTTCAACGTGCTCCGTCCGGATTAAAGAATTAAGCTTACGGTAGAATCTTTTAAGCGTGTCCAATTTAAAACGGTGAAAGGCCTTCCGAGGAGGTTGCCGTAAAGGGAGAGTTCACTCAGAAAGTGGATATCCGATGCTCGTGGTATCGCGACTGACCCTGACCAGTATGTCACGTGATTACAGACCCCGAGGGAGGACCGTGCGGCAGCGTCGAGTCCTGCTAATCAGAATAATCACACGCCAACACCGTCCCCGTCACCGGTCGGTGATGCGCCCGTCGGCAGGGCTCTCATGGAAGCTGCGCTCCAGCAAGCCACTTCCGGATTACAGCCACCACTGGTGGTGACACCGCCTGGATACTGGCTCGATGGCACCGATCATCGACACGCCCTGGACTCTGCCGGCAGGGCACTGCTTCCGGCCCAGCCAGCCTGGCAACCCAGGATAGACCAGGACGACACGGCTAAATGCTACAGACGATTCTTCGTCGGTCGGGTAAGCGCCACTATAATTCTTAAATAAATCATAAATCGATAGAATTATATATTTGCAAAATTGTCTGTAAAAGAATCTTTTCAAAATCGATGCCTTGAGATAAAAATCCGCACTCTTATCATGAAAAAGGAATTCATAGTTATGTAAGCTTGTAGAAGAAATTAGTGATTTTTATCGAAGAACCAAGAATTCCTGAATTCCATTGATATACATTAACTGTCTTTATGTAATATTGATTCATTAATATCGGACAAAATATACGAGTAGATCTATTATGATCTCGTATGTCTGTACATGAACTCATCGATTCCTGCATAATGAATAAAATAATCCGGGATATTCTATAAGCACGTGTAATTCGCGTGACTGTAAATGTGATATCTCACGCGAAGATCGAAATGAAATATGTATTAAATTCAAGGTACAATTGAATGATTGATAAAACAGAAATAACTGTATTATGTGTTAGAAGGTTTATATTCTAGAAAAAGAACGGGACTTGCCAGTGATAAATCACGTGGATTCTGCTGGAAGGACAGCATAATCTGTCAGTAAATTATGTTTGAGAGCGATCGTCATTTTTCATATTCTTACGTTAATATCGACAACCTTCTGTCACCATAAAAACAAACATCGCATTTCAATTTACTTTAATTTTTAACTAAAATATGATACAGTAAATACCGGTAGTAAAACGGGAAATGCCTGCGAAATGTTAATTGAAAATCAGCGCCATAAAGCGTTAATCGAAAGTTAGATTGGTAAAGTGTAGACTGAAAATTAGTTTGCAAACGAGTTCCACAAAATTGCTTTCACTTCAATGTAAAATACATAATGTGGTTTACGGTTTCCTTTACAGTTTCCAACATATTCAAACATTTTCATTTAATCTCCAATTTCGATGTAACATTTAACCCGAATTGAAGTGGACGAATCTTAGTAGAATTAATTCCTCCTATTAATACATTTCAGTTTGATGTGCAACGTTGATTACTCTGCAAAATTTATCGATGGACAAATACAAATTGATACGAATTGTTGTTAGGGAAACTTGGACGGTTTCTAATGATTCTAGTTAATCCGCAAACACGATGGTAAACTTCTGGAAAATCAATATATCTCAATATGTTCTAACATTCTGCTCACTAATCGATAACCGATAACGAATTCATACCAATCACCCATGTACCTGGATGCATTTGCAAAAGTCTAAACACGTTTGTATCTCGTGCTGTGCGTGTACCACTAATTCGCTTTCGGTAACCGAAGTTATGGCAACTTTGGGAAATACGATTCGAACGTGGCTGGCATTCTACAGCGATGTAATTTATGATTCCGCGCGCTCAACATGTGTAGTCATATTCACCTCAGCTTTAGGCGAGTGCATAACTGTTTAATTGCGTCGTCGAGTGCATACAGTATTTTCCTCGATTCGCTTAATGCGTAATACTAAACGTACTTTGACCACGAAGAATAATACATATTTTTTTTATTAATAAAATACAGACAACGTCAGAAGCATATTTTACCACTTGATTTAAAATGTTTCATTATTCGATCGAAAGCAGAATATCTTGAAATGAAACTTTCATTCAGGAATAACCAACGAAGAATAGATGAGATTTAAGTGATACAAATACAATTGACTGTATTTAACTCGTTCAGTGTTAGATAATACTGGTAATTCCTGTGAAACTGTACATCCCTAATAATTATGAAGCGGTAGGAAGGAATTATAAGATAATCACGATTAGGTACATTGCCTTGAGCCGATTAACCAGCGTTCTGCTCATAGCCGCAAACAATACACGTATGGTTTCAAACGGTAGCATTGATTGCGAGTGCCATTATCTCTTTGTTAATTATCTCATTGTCTGTCGGCTCATATGATGTACAATGAGAGTTAAAAGTGAGAATTCACTGCGGAAATTCGTATTAAATAGAATTTGCTTAATCTATTGTAAATAAAAGCTTTAAAAATAAAAGAGCATTTAACGCTGATTTTTCTATAAATT